AAGAGAGTTAGTTTTGTCTATGTCGTTTGATTGAGAAAAGTCAAGTTTTTTAAAGATTACCCAAGAACGTAGATATCAGCAGGATGATTAATTTCGATCCAGTCATCGATGTCAAGATCAGAAGGTGGTGAGATTCCTCCAACGTTCCACGTACCAACACAAACTCTGTACACAAACACAACAGATTTCGTTATGTTTCAATTTCTGACATGTTGATGTTGTTAGGTCTCCTTTTCAACAACACACAACAAATTTTACAAGTGAAAAAGAAAAGACGATAAACATCCGAATCTGTATAGTAGTACTACTATATCTAAAAAATATAATATTAAAATAGTAAAGAAACAATCAAAATTGTACCTTATTTCTTTGGTGTTAATATACTGTGTTCTTAATGTTTCTGAGTTTCTTCTTCTTAACTTCATCGGAGCATCTGATTACAGCAAAAAATATAACAAATTTTTTAATTAAACCGAAAATTTAAAGATTTAATTTTTGTTTTTAATATTTTCAGTCCAATTTCTTGTGAGATATTGAAATTCAGCAATGGGATTAGATAATCAAAAACCCAGAAAACATCCCACAGTGAATCTCATAACTACCTATGCAATTTCGGCATTACCATTGCTAATAAACTCCCTAGCCGCTGCTGCGGCGTCTACGGCGGCTGAACCAGCGGCGATTGCGTCTTCCGCGTTCTCACAAACCCGCGAGCTCGATTCTCCACCTTCTGTTAAATTAAAACCGGTTTAAATCAGCTTTAGATCTTTAGATTACCGGAAAGTACAAAGAACCGGTGATTCCGGTGAGAGTGAGGAGAGAGAAACCTTCATCGGAGCTAGAGTCGTCGTTTTCGTCTCCAACGCCGTCGTTTTCGGATTCGTCTTCAGTATCAGCACCATACTCAGGATCTCTAGCACTTATATTCAACCACTTTCTCATCACTAGCTTTGCCCATAATCTCTGTAATAAAAAAATAAACTTTTTTTGTTCAGACCCAAATCCTTTAGTTTCAGACAACAAAATCTTTTAGGACATAAAAAGTTTTGAACCTGAGATTTATGACGGTAGCTTTTCTTCATCATCCCGACGGGTTCAACAACTGAAGAAGACATCAAATCGTAATTTTCACAACTGAAGATTTTTTTTTTTTTTAATAAAAAAATGAAAGTGCTGAAACTTTATAAAAATCTGGATTTTTTTTTTTTTTATGCCAGACCATAAATCCAAAATTACTTGAAAGAGTTTAGCAAACGCGTGAGTAGTCAGTCCTCGTCTTTCTTTTCATCATTTTATGTAAGAAAACTTTCTAAAATTTAATTGTTTTATTTTTTATATTTGCGTAACAATAATGCTTTTTTCCCTCACGTCATGGTTATTTCTTTTCTTTTTTTTAAAGAGAGAATAAGAAATTTCAAACCAAAAATAACGTCACGAGACTCACGAGTAATGGGAAAAAAAAAACTCAAAAGGGGGGAATTTTTACTATTTAATGCATTTTTAATGATTAATTACGATTATAATTACATCAGGATAACAAGAATTATGGTCCCTCTTAACTTATTATAAGGTGAACTTTTCACAATTTGGACCACAATATATTATTACTACGTTAATAATGGCGTAACAATAATACTTTTTTGCCTCACGTCATGGTTATTTCTTTCTTTCTGTAATACTAATAAGGAATTTCAAACCAAAATCCACACTAGCGTCACAGCTTACGGAAAAAGGGGAATTTTCACTATTTAAAGCATTTAATGATTAATTATGATTGTAATTACATTAGGATAGCTAAAGTTATGATCCCTAAACTTATTTATAAGGTGAACTTTTCATAAATTGGACCACAATATATTATCTTGTTACGTATGATCTTATGCTTTTGTATGACCATATAAGTTAGTTTCGACCAAAAAAAAAAATGACCATATAAGTTAGTTAGTTTGAAAAATCACATACTTAAGAACTATAAAATATTCACACTAGGTACATATTGGACTTGGTATAACAACTCCCACGGGAGATACTTTTTAATCTCAAATCTTTACATAGATTATCCTGGTCTTAGCCATTTGGATTTTAACTTTTGGTCCATAAACTCAACTGCTTCTTATAGAGATATTAAAGTGAGTTTATGTATTAAGTGCTCTTTAATAATCCTATCTATAGACTCACATTATTAACGTGACTCGCATTATCTACACTCAAATGTAAATATCTGTTTTGCCAAAGTTGCTCTATATTTGTAAGACCTAACACTTCATTTTATATGATATTTACATTTTAGTAAATTTTAAATAATGTATTTATATTTGATCTAACAGATTGGAACCGGCAAAGGAAAAACTGCAGTGGTGGGTCGACATGTGAGTGGTAGCGTGCATGACTCGAATGCATAATGGGTACACCACTACCGGCAATGTTAACTTTCTCATTTTTATTTTATTTTTATGATCGGAAAATTTTGAATCAAAATCCATATTAATATTCGAAACGTATAAAAAGAATCCGAGATCTTTACCTTTTAAAACAATAGCCAACTAAAATTAAAATTGATGTAAAAGGATTTGATACCGTTATTAATTAATAGTTGACAACAAAAAAAGTTAATTGAAAAAGTAAAAAGGAAAAATCCAAAACGGGTGGATGATAATGTGACTCGTATGCATAGTGGAATTTAATATTCTATGTCTTTCAAAGAAAAGAAAAAAAAAGCTTAATATGCATAATGAAAAGTTGGTAAGAATGCGAGTAAATATTGGCGTACGAGTAAAAATATTGGTGTACGAAACTACGAATGTGAGTGAGCGAGGGAGATGTTAAAAAAGCAAAGTTTATTTTCGGAATACTAAAAAAAGGAAAAAAAGAAATGCAAAGTACATGGCGCCGCCAAATTGGTCGATAAGGGGGTAATAAAAGAAATCTACAAGAGATCCGGTCGGGATTTCCGGTTAATGTCCGGTTCAACGGATAAGGTGTTCGGGTCGGTGAGGTGCGGTGTGGGACCCAGGAAATAAGCGGACCACATAAGAAGCCTACGAAGAGTTTGGACTCTATTGGGCCCACYCACTTTTAACTACGAATGCAACGAGTGAGTTGTGTACCCAACCTATCTGTTTCATAGCTCCCAATTCTCACCTAAAATCCAAATCAGTTAAATCAACGAATCAAATTACTACAATTTCCTCTCTCTTTTTTATTTATTTTAACAAATCATTCAACAATAGTTAATTTCTGGAATGAAATTCTAGAAGCTATAAAAGCATTAAATTATTGTTATAGTGGAAAACAATTTACCATTAGACCATCCGCATTCGTCATATTTGGTGGATGTTTTTAAATAAACAAATATTAAAAACATATTCTCTCTTCTTTTTACTCAACTTTATATCTTCTCTTTCATTTTTTTACTCAATTTTTATTAATTTTATATTTAAACACACCCATATTCTCTCTCCAAAAGTCACTATTTATGTATTCCTAAAGACACAATCTCTCCAACAATATTCACTATCTCCTCTCTTTACTCAAATTTTATTAATTTTATATTTTAAAACACCCTATTATTTCAACCAAAAACACTCTTTTTCTTCCTTTTACTCAAATTTTAATAATTTTATATTTAAAGACATCCATTTGTCTCCAACGCGGATGCTCTTAATAATTTGACTCTTAAGCTACAAAAATAAGAATTTGGCAACTTTTTTAAATAGCTTGTGATAGATTCATGTTTGGCACAAATAGAATGTGAACGGAAATTAGTGGTCATATCATTCTTCATCATTTACATTTTACAGGCTTGAG